CAGACATCGACACTGCCAGACTTGTTTACTTTAATTATTTTCACAGCATCTTGTCGTACGGCATTTTGTTGTGGGGTAGTGCATCAGATATAAATTCTATATTTATTCTTCAAAAAAGAGCTGTCCGAGCAATCTACAATATCGGAGCCCGGAATTCACTCAGAGATCTTTTCAAAGAGGTTAATATACTCACTGTTGCTTCTCAATACATTTATTGTAATGTTTTGTATATACGTCATAACCTTAATTATTACCTAAATAATAGTGACAGACATAAAATAAACACTAGAAAGTACAAACTTACTACGCCATTGTTTCGTCTACAAAAAGTAAATAAGTCGTTCATGGGGCAAAGTGTGCGCATGTATAATAAAATCCCACAGTCGATATTAAGTCTGCCGCTTGACCAATTTAAATGTAAAATTAAAAATCAACTGATGATTAAAGCATATTATACCATTTCGAAATATCTCGACGACGCCAATGTGTGTAGTTAATACTGTTGATACTCACGTAGGCTAGAATAAGACTATTATACCTGTATATTATATTGTACCCTGATACTTTTGAAAAGGAGCAACTGTTGAGTTTCTTGCCGGTCTCTTCTCAACAGAAACCGCTTTCCGAACCGGTGGTACCTTACGAACCTATACACATAATCTTTGATGTAAAATTTGACGATTCATAAGAGCGCGCAAACGTCTATTTTAATAAATATATTTTTGATTTGATTCTGATGAACATCATGTTTTTCCAGTGACGGGTTATATATATATATAATATGTATTTATTTACAAAAGAAAAGTATGTTTAACTATGTTTATCAGTTTTCTAGTACCCATAGTACAAGCGTTGCTTAGTTTGCGACTAGAGAACGTTGTGTAAAAAATATGTCCAAAAAATATTTATTTATTTATTTATATTTTGGATTTTATTGTAAAAGTTTATGTACCAAAAAGAAACATAATACGAGTAAAATTTTAACTTTATCTGTAATATCATAATTTTTTTTACCTTTATACTTTAAACCCGGTAGAGATGTATACTCTATTGCTTTTTTTTTTCTCTTTATGTAAGAAGGTTTTATGTAAGTGAAAAGTTGGTAAGCGGTTCACCTGATGTAACGTGATTACCGCCACCCATCGACATTTACAACACCCGTAGGATTGCAGATACGTTACCACCTCTTCATATAGACGGCCCCGGCTACCCCACTGATGAGATGAAACGAAGTATAACACTTGCCGCCCGTATTCTGTGCGGTCGTGGTACTTACCCAAACGGACCTGCCCATTCGTGAATCCTGATTCCTGAATCGGCCCTATCCCAGTAGAAATTTTATAAGTTTTTTTTTTTGCTTTCAGTCCCGAGACTATTAAAGCTTCATCTGACGCAGAACCGGTGGGCTAGCCATAACCCACGGGTTTGGGCCCTCCGCTGTGGGTAGGGTCGCGCATGTGCTCATGCGTGCGTTTAACTACGACATGTCATCTAAGGTTCATCGAAGTTGCGGTGCGGACCGAGACCCCGATGGCCGTCGACTGTGTTTTAGCTCATCGGTGGCTGGGGGCGGTGAGAACCGCCCTGGGACGCGGGTGTACCTTGTGTACGCGTTGTGTTGGTCTCGCCGTGCTCGGAGGCGAGGGCGAACTGGTGTGATTGTTGTTACACTAGCTGTGGGTTTTTTTTTTCTTTTTATAAGTATGTACAAGGTACCATGTTATTATTTCCAAGTAGCCTTTTCCCGCGACTGTTTTCGGTGAGTCAAGTAACGGAATTAAAATAAAAAATTTGTCATACTTTCATTACCAATACGAGTATTTGCATTTTTTTAAACATATTATGCAGGATATCGAAATGAACACGAAAATTAAAGTATAATTGGTGTTTAAAATTTACTTCTGTTATCAAACTTCTCTCTACTACGATTAAAGTTCTAGAAATCCTTTTTTCTGAATTATGGATAGATATAAATTAATATATAATAGTAAATATTTAGGACACATTTTTACACAACGTCCCGTACTAAGTAACTTTTGTACTATGGGTACTAGATAAAACATACTTTGATTTTGTAAATAAATACGTAATTATATAAACACCCATATTGGAAAAAAACAATGTTCATCACACAATATTTCTCCAGTAGTGGGGATCGAACCCACACCCTCTGGCGCAAGAGGCTATAGGGTGGTCTCCACTACGCCAATCGGATGGTCCAATTCTAAGAAACATTAATTTATGATTAGGCGTCCTATAAATAGTGCTCTGCGTTTAGTACATAAGGGCAGGGTTTGACGAATATGAATAAATCATTCATTAATTTAAATGATAACGAAATTTATTGATAACGAAAAGTCTAACGGTCTAAATGACTTTTAAACGGTGAATTGTAACATCAAGTAGTAAGTATTTAATTGCATTAGCTTGGCACTTGAATTCAGAAAGCTTAAAATTATATTTATTACTTACTTATTCCAACGAATATTCTGATACAAGAGGAAACCAAAGAATGATATCGGAATATTTGAAATTTTTTCCACGTGAAAAAAGAGAATCGAATCACAGAACTTTTTTATTTTTGGAACACATTGCTCTTACTTTAGGATAACATTATCTCTTTATATAAGGACGTTTTTCAAACATAAATTTGACACCCAGATGCGAAACAATCTATCTGTGGCTCACAGAAATAGCTATCCCGTGTGCGAATCAAACCCCCGACCCGCGACGCCAAAGCCAATACCTTTTTTTTATGCGAAAAGTTGTCAAACGAGCAGACGGTTCACCTGATGTTAAGTGAATACCGCCGCCCATTTGCCATTGACATTTGCCACACCCGAGGGTTACAAATGCGTTGACAACCTTTCGAAAATTGGGCTCCGGCTACCTCACTCACCAGTCGAAACGCGAAAGTATTTGTCATACTTCCACTTTACGCTGGTCTTCTGTGAGGTCGTGGTATTTGCCCGGACGGGCCTGCCCATTCGTGCAACAGCCGAGGCTGCTGCGTTGCCCTACCACCGTAGGAATAATACCTACCTTGGCAACTGTGTCACGGAGTCGTCATTATGATAGTCTATGGTGATTAAGAAACCTAAGGTGAGCACGACCTTAGAATGCCGAATCTGGTACAAATACACAAAACACATTATTAAGTATGTTTCACAAATAATGTCATGATATTATATATTTTGCTCTAAACCGTCTACCCAAAGAAGATGGATGTACTTGATGCTATTATTAAGCTACAACAATATATTAGTCCTTATACCCTAACGCAATTGCTATGGAAATCTTGAACCCAAAAACTTGGATGATCCAACGTCCCAGCCATTACGACCCTGATACCTCTGAATAGAAACCGTCAGGATTCTTACAAGATTACAAGATCCTTGTATCGTTTTAGTATTTAAATAAAAGGGTCTGTCTATGTTTTGTTCAGAGTTTTATACCTCTATAAAGGCCATTCCAGAAAAGCATCTACGGGCCAATCTTCTACTCTACCTATTTCACTACATTCGCTTTCATGCATGACTGGGCTCCGAGGCTAGCCTTGTGTAGCTCAATATTTTTCTTGTGGGAGTATTTATACGGAACAGTATCTACTCTTAAAGTATTTTCTGTACAAATACACTCTCTTTGTGTGGGCGGTAAGTCTTTCCGTCTGTGGAAGATGATGCGAGTAAATACAGTAAAATAAATGTTTCTCCTCAAAATAAATTGGATTAGATTTATGATATATTACACTATTGTATTTTACAAATTTACTTTCTCACTGTAGTTATTATGGATCAACCTTATTATTTTAGAGTTCACTCCAATCATTGTCTGCAAAATGGAGTTAATTTTTACGGAGTTTATTAGTATTTTACAGATACTACGGCTATTTTAAACACGAAAAAACTTATTTCTTAACAAATAAATTGCTTGACCGCCAAACGTACACGAAATACTCTTATTGAGAAAATAGACTTTTTCCGAATCCTCCTTATACAGCAATTTCAACGTCATAAAAGTTGCTTCACTGTTTATAATGCTGTTGAATAACCGTTCCCTAAGAGTTAAAGTTTGTTCTTATTTGAAAGTTGGACATGTACATGCCTACTGGTAAGGCACAATATTGTGGAAAGTTAGTCTTTGCGATTGAAGATTAACATGAAACAATAATGGAAAACAAGAATTAAATATTGATTTAAAAATGCTTTTTAAATAATGACCAGTAAAGAGGGAATTTTTTAATTTTTACTAGGTTATCCCTTATTATTTCACAAATACCTACACAAGTATGATTTGCTGTATTTATTTATAAAATGTAATACGGAACATTTATAATCATTATGTCAGGTAGGAATTTAGCCGAGCGTCTCTCAGTATTAATTTTTCGACTTTTCTTAAACCTTGCATTGCTTAAATGGATTGTGCCATTGAAAACTATCGTTTTTTTTTTTCAGGCAAGATTGTTCGTATATAGACTAGAATAATGTCATTTTAAGCGATTTGAAAAGGAGGACGTTCTCAATTCGATTTGTAGGTACTACGAATTGTTCTCAATTGATTTATGATCCGATTTACGTGATTCTTCTTTAGTTTGATGCATAATAGTTGCCATTTGGTCCCATAAACATTTTACATAGTTTAGCCAAATAGTTTTCATTTTATGAGTATTTTTATTTTAACAGAAAGTTATTCTTTCGGTATGAAACTCGTTACTCGATTTTTACCAGATTCAATACTTTCTTCCAAATTAATTTGCTAAGTCGACGGTAGTCCAACGACTAACGACATGAATATCATTATCATAAACTAAATATTTATAATAATAATGAGACACTAAACACGTTACGACCGAAAACAGATATTCAATTTTAATCCTACTCCAATTCCATCATCCCGTGCAGTTTATATATGTACTTGGCGCGAAAATGTTTCTTTGCCGGTATGTTTTTTGTACCAGAAAAATTATGGTGATGAATAACTGAAGTTGTTTTGTTTTTCAGCGGTCACGTTCACCAAGCAGCTCGGCGCAAAGGCAACTGGACGAGGCTGACCTTTTTATGGACCTGATTAAGGATGTCGCCAATGAACTGGATATTGATGTGCTGTGCCATAAGGTATGTGTTAGCACTAACCGCGCCTACAAATATATTTGCCATCTATGTTTCTTGGTTTTTAATCCGATCTTTTACTAACCACGCCTACAAATATCATTAATGCCATCTATGTTTCTTGGTTCTTAATCCGATCTTTTACTAACCGCGCCTACAAATATGTTCATCATCTATGTTCCTTGCTTAGTTAGAAACGATCGTGCCGGCGCCCCGGGCAGCGGCACACTAATTTACTATAAAAAATCCCTCCACTGCGTACCGGTAGATACGCCCGCGCTCACGCATCTCGAGGCATCCGTCTGTCAGCTGGCACTAACTGGCCATTCTCCCATCACTCTAGTATCAGTCTATCTCCTTGCAGACCAACCGCAATTATATTGCAATCCAATTTTGAGGCCCTCTTCTCCATAGGAGGAGCCACCATATTAGCTGGCGACTTCAACAGCAAGCATATCCGATGGAACTCGACACGCACCAACAGTCGAGGCACCGCACTCGACTCACTATCCGACAGGCTCGACTTTGAAGTTGTAGCCCCAGTCGAACATACGCACTTCCCTTATATAGAGGGACAATCATCGGATGTGCTTGATATTGCAGTCGTCAAAAACATCAATCTGACCATGCGCGACCCGGAAGTGATTCACGAGCTTCACTCTGATCACCAACCAGTCCTCCTTCGGCTAGGGCCCTCAGCAATAGCCGCCCCCCAAACCAAAACAGTCATTAGCTGGCATAGAGTCAAAACTAAACTTAATGAGCCCAATTCAATATTAGAGTCGATCCCCGACCAACTCAACAACAAACAGGACACGGAGACCGCAATTCGGGCCCTCACGAGTCACGTCAACACCGTCGTAGAGCAATGCTCGAGACAGGTTCCAGCGATGGACGACCATCGCTGGGCCCTGCCAGACGATGTACAGGACTTACTGAGGCGCAAGAATGCGGCCACACGCGCCTACGATAGATATCCCACCGACTCGAATCGTAGACTGCTACGTAAATTGCAACGTGAAGTCAAAACACGTATAGCAGACTCACGAAACGAACGGTGGGACTCCACCCTAGTCTCAATAAAACCGTCCCACCAAGCCTTCTGGAAACTTCCCAAAACCCTCAAGGGTATTGCCACTCCAAACATGCCACCACTAGTTCGCCCGATAGGAACGCCAGCAATGCTGGACGAAGAGAAAGCCGAATGCCTAGCTGACAGTCTAGAGGCCCAATGCTCCCCCAGCTTGCTTCCGACCCACCCCGATCACCTCCGTAAGGTGAACGAAGAGGTCGAAAGGAAAGCATCGGAACCACTCCGCGATCCCGTTCCCCCGGTCACGTTTTTTTTTTTTTTTTTTTTTTTTTATGCCAAAAGTTGTCAAACGAGCAGACGGTTTACCTGATGTTAAGTAAATACCGCCGCCCATGGACATCTGCCACACCCGAGGGTTACAGATGCGTTGACAACCTTTTGAAAATTGGGCTCCGGCTACCTCACTCACCAGACGAAACGCGAAAGTATTTGTCATACTGTCACTTTACGCTGGTCTTCTGTGAGGTAAAACGTGCTCGGAACTCGCAGAAACAATTAACAAACTGCGCCCACGCAAAGCGCCTGGCTCAGATGGTATCACCAATAAGGTGACCAAACTTCTCCCTACTAGCATCCTTCAGATACTAGTCTTAATTTACAACGCGGCTATAACCGAAGGCTTCTTCCCGTCCGAGTGAAAAGAAGCTGACGTAATAGGGTTCCTCAAACCTCATAAACCCGCGACCCTCCCAACCTCTTATCGTCCAATAAGTCTTCTCAAAACATTTTGGAAGATCTTTGAAAGACTAATATTAGCCCGACTAAGATCCCTTATGGACGCCAAAGGGCTCCCCATCCCTGAACAGTTTGGCTTTAGAGCCAAACATTCTTGTACCCATCAAGTGCACCGCATCACGGAGTCCATACTAGTCAAACGCCAACGCGGACTCAACACCGGAGCACTCTTCTTGGACGTGGCAAAGGCCTTCGATAAAGTCTGGCACAACGGGCTCGTATACAAGTTATACGGGCTCGGAGTGCCCGATCGTCTCGTATGCATAATACGAGACTTCCTAAGTAATCGGACCTTTCGCTATCGCGTCGAAGGCGTGTGTTCGACAACGCATCCCGTTCGAGCCGGGGTGCCTCAAGGGTCGGTGTTGGGCCCAGTCCATTTTACGCTCTACACCAATGACATGCCGCGAGTCAAAGATGTAGAACTTGCCCTATTTGCCGACGACACCTGTCTCTATACAGCAGGCAGAACATCGAAAAATTATCCATCGACGCCTCCAAGCTGCAGCCATCACCATCGGTGACTGGTTTCGGCAATGGAGGATCGAAATCAATCCCGCCAAGAGCGCGGCCGTCCTTTTTTCGCATAAAAACGTAGATAAACCACCCCCCCGTTAAACTCATGGATAGTCCGGTACCATGGGTGAACAAAGTTAAATATTTAGGTGTCGTCCTTGACTCCCAACTTAGATTCAACCTACACGTGACTCGGGTCAAGAACCGGGCGGCCTTCGTACTCGGTCGCCTCCATCCGCTCCTCAACAAAACGTCTAAAATGTCCCTTCGGAACAAGGTGACTCTATATAAGGCAGTAGTTCGCCCTATCATGACGTACGCGAGTCCAGTTTTCGCACACATTGCTCCGAAGCAAATACACCGGCTTCAGGTCATCCAAAATCGATTTTTGCGCAGAGCCACGGGAGCACCCTGGTACATGCGCAATATCGACCTTCATGTCGATTTAGAGTTGCCCACCATCGCTCAATTCCTGAAGTCGGCGTCGCGCCGATACTTCGATTCCGCCGCCGCGCATCCCAACCCGCTAATCGTAGGTGCCGCCACCTACAGACCCCTGCCGCTAGGTACGTTCCGCCGCAATCACCGTAGACCGCGACACGTTCTCGATTTCCCTGACGATGAGACGACTATCGCCATCGAAAGGATTAAAAAAACTTCGCAAACACACCAACACAAACCGCACTCGCCGGCGAGTGCGGCAAACATATACTAGGTTCCGCCACGTACCTGGCAGGTTCTCCCCAGTTCAAGATAGAAGCGTTGCTGGAGTTTCTTCCGCCACTTCTTCTCCCAGCGCCAACGCTTTACGAAGTGGTAGTAACGATAGCTCTAGAGATCCCCCCAGTCAGATAACAGCTACCGATCGAGCCGAGGTCCGGCCCTCTCGGGCACCCTCGAATCGGAATGCTAAACGCGTGTTGAGTGACAGCCCAAGCCGAGGTCCCCTCTCGGCGACCCTTGAGCCTGATCACTCCATGGAGCCCCCGCCAAAGCGCCCTAAGAGCTAGGCGGCCTCCCAAACCGGTGAATTAAATAGCGTGACGGCCCGAGCCGAGGTTCCTTCGGGAGCCCTCGAGCTTAGTCACCATAACGCGAAATAATAAATACGCGAGGTTCAGGCTAGGCGCCTCGAGCGCTCGGCCACCTCAAGTCCGTCGGAACTGTAAAGGCCCCTAAGGCCAACAGTGGCTCATCAAGCCCAAAAAAAAAAAAAAATTTTCCTTGCTTCTTAATCCGTTCTTCATTTGTTATACTATTTCTGATTACTTCTATGATTGATTTTGATTTTATACCGAAGGGAAACATAAGAAAACCATACAAAACTTTTCAAAAGTAATAACAAAGAAAATTTTTACAAGATACGCGAAATTTCTAATAACCTGAGTACGGAGGAGGCGTATGACCATCAGTGGGACATACATAGGTTGTTACTATACTTAACTTTGCAGTTTTGTAGTTGAGCACGTGAGAAATCAGCACAACACAATCCAAATTAATTATTTATACACTCCATAAAGAAAAAATTCGGTATTTTATTTATAATTATTAGGACCTATATGAACAGTACCGTTTAACTTTTTATCCTGTTCGTACCATATCAGTTATGTAGGTGAATAAAATGTTTGTAAAATTCCGTAAAAATAGCCGCTTTGATTATATATCAGCACATAGAGCCATTTCTTTAAACTGTCAGAAGCGACAAAGTTAGACCTAATACAAAATTAAGTCCTTCTCCTTCAGCTGCAGATTCAAATTCAAAATATCTTTATTGAAATAGACACTTGCGCGTTCTCATGAAACGTCGAATTTTACATAACAATTGATACTTAAGTTCGTAAGTTACCAGCACCGGTTTGGAAGGCAGTTTCTGTTGGAAGACACCGGCAAGAAACTCAACAGTCGCTCTGTTTTTTAAAGCTCTGATTACAATATAACGTAGGTATAATATTCTTATTTAGCCTACGTGAGTATCAACAGTATTAACTCGAAACGAATTGCCGAATTTTAAGAAATAAGTGTTTGTGTACAGTGTGTCTTTCGACAGATAGTTTAGCAAGAAGACAAACAATAAACGTGGTTAATACATAAAAAATAAGAATTTTTAATTACATATAAAAATAAGAATAGACATTTAATTAAAGATAACATTAGAATTAAAATTGCTCTCAGAGAATCCTTTTGATGATTGCGTGGGATAATGAGTTTTATAGTCACGAAAGCCTGCAAAGGGAAATTACATGAAAGGGGTACGATATTTTGTAAAATACAATGACTATATTGTTTCATACAACTACTTAAATTTAAAAAAATCTTAAAATTTATATTTTTCTAAGTCAAATATTTTCTTTGTAATGAAATTTAAATAATAGGTATCGTATAAGTTACAGTTTTACATTTACTGTAGGCAAATTTTAAGCAGTTAAATATGTATATCAGTTAGGAGACATGTTATGTCTGCTAACTAACAATTATATTGCAAGGAATGTAATCCCTACGTATCCATTAATTAATTACACCACTAAAACACTTTGAGGTTCTAGTTCTGAATGTGTGCATCGTTGAAGATATGCATAAATTTTCACGACATCAAGTTTAAGACCCTTATTTCTCTAAACTATCTCGCAAACGACTATATACCATTATAACAACAAACATCAAA